CAACTGATGCATGAAGCAATTCGCAAACTCTTTGAACCTTATCAGAGCTTTCAAAACGGTGATCTAATTTTCTCATTGCAGACAAACAGAGTCATCTTGGAGAAACACAGGTGAAAGATTGGTTTTGTCGTTTTCGTTAAAACTCTAACAAATTTAAAAGGTGTTGGACAAGAATGAAATCAAGACCAAACAATCACTATAGAATGGTTGGGAAAAGAGAGATGCGGCTGGGTGAGAAGCTCCTTAAATGAAACTTTTATCCGATATGTCTGTTTTCATTATTTCTCAATGGTTGCAAGATAGAATTTATATTGTTCAGCTGTGCACTTTGTCAAATCCGTCTACATGGTATCCAGGTTCGTTTAGTTCGTTTTTCATGATGTCAGTTTCCTGACCGACACACTGCACTCGACCAACCTAGATCGGAAAGCACACTCGCAGATCGGTACCGAAATCAATCGAACACACCTTTGGCAACTAATATTTTAATACTGCAGAATCAGATGTCTCATGGGTTATCCAATTTAACTTGGTCCCATGAATCTCAGTTCATATACTTAGCGTTCTTAGACTCAAATTGACTCACATTTATCTGTCTATCCTCAAACGTCCCTTCTCATCAACCTCAACATTAAAAGGATTGAAAATCCTTTCGGGTTCAGCAGCTTTAGTTGTATTTCGCCAATCATCAGTGGATCTCCAATACACCTGGTTGTCTTATTTCATAATTTGGGTTAATTGTTCACGTATTGAGGTTTTAATCGTTTTTGTCCTGATAACCGACTCAATCTAACACAAAATCGACCATTTCTGTGCAGTTAGACCTTTTGCATTCCGATGTTTGGATCAGTGAAGAACGGATTCCCCTGAGCATCATCATTATTCCGAGGAGAAATCTAGTTCGGACTGCCAAGGAGTGCCAACAGTTGTTTAGTCTCAGAAGAAATTCATCAGTTGGCCGAACTCGAATCGCAAAGCAATGTATGAGGTCTGTGCAAGTTGAATAGGTTGACCCAAATATAGCAGGTTGAAAGTTGGCATTTGCTTTACGTTCCACTGCTGCAAACCTCCGTTTCCAGCGTACATGTTTACCTAAAATGTAAGCAGGTCAGCTTATACAAATTATACAAATACAAAAAGTGTAATATAAAAGGTAGTCCTAAGTTAGTGCAGTCAAGCCAACAGTGGCCTTCCTCATCTCCCCCTTGAATCTCATTCATCGCGGTTCACATCCAAAATATTGGAGCAGATCGAATAAGTACGCATCGGAAAACTGCTCACTCGTTCTCTCTTTCCTGAAACTGCTGCATTCCTCATCTGTGTTCCCATCGTTGTAAGTCTCGATTTTGTTGTATTGCATTCAAGAGCTTGTATTGAACTATCCGATCACGGTACCAGCAAGTTCTACAGTGGAAACTGAGATTGGAAAACGTCTATTCTTCTTATTTTTTTCAAACGTAGCTTCGCGTGAGCTACTGTCTGCATATGCGTGGTGAGTCAATCCTAAGCGCTAGTCCTAATCAGCTAAGCGCCTACGCGTTCCAGCTTCTGGTCATTGGGCCATGGACCATCAATCAACAGTCATACAGTTCAAACAGAAATTGTTGAACTCGAAGAACGAGAACGGTGATTGGCTGATATTCGTTTGACCAATGATATTTCTATTCGCATAATATATAGTTCCAATGATTTCTTTCAATAAAAGAACCGCTAGTTCTGTGATCTTTTTCCTGCGTCTCAGTAGCGGGAGATTTCAGTGTACAAGTGCCAGTGCATTCAGTATTTTAGTTACGTCCGTGATTCGTGATTCATAATCCGTACCTACTGCGATTACTACATTATGTCTTACACTATCGGCTTGGATACAATTCTTTACTTCGAATGGGCCGAACTGAGTTCAATCCGCTTTATTCATCTGTGCAAGGCGAACTGCCCTTAGCATGCTACGCTCCACACACACGCACGCACACACAGAATATCTAGAATAATGCTCCATAAAATGTACTTGAAGGAATTATGTATCATGAATGCTTTTCCGATCAAAGCACAGGCGGGTAGTGTGATTTAAATCTGGATTTAAACTCGACAGTCACAAGAAATGCATCACGGTCAATAATATTATGAATTGGTTAAGGAGAACAGTAGTTCCCCACGCAAACTCAGATATGGGAACAAGGAAGAGTGTCAACGATATTCAGTGATTGAGAAAAGATATCTGAGTTACAGTGCTCTGTTAGTTTCACATCGTCTTGTCTCTCTGACCCGTGAACCCACAGTTGAATTCCTCTATGACACAATGGATAATTTACCACGATTTCCGAAAATTATAATCCCTTAACGTGAAACCAGAATGTCTGATCACCTGTTCGTAACGTTTGTAATTTTTTTGTTATCATTTGGTGTTTATCGGTGTGATGATCGCACTTCCGCTGTGCAACGCCCAAGTTCACTGGGGATTCTAAAGACTCGAACCGAGCAGCTCATGCTAACTTGGCAGGCCACTGCTACTGGTTGCAGCCGATCCACCCGACCGATCGATAAAGGAACCTGATCGGTGGTGTGCTTGTCAACCCGCATGCTGATGTATTGTTGTTTGGTCACCAACCTGGGCCGAACTGAATGGCAACTTCGACTGAGAGTGACAGAATATGTCCCAAGTTGTGTGAACACCTTTACCAACCAGTAGGAAGCAGGTCAAAGCTCACCCATCAGATAATCGCCAAACTCGTCCGTCACACACCCCTTGCTTGAGACAAAGCATTGGTTCAATCGAAAAACTGCGTTCTCAGAGATCCTGTGCAACAGTACTTCACGCTTACTTGAGATTGCTGAAGCAATTACAAATCAAAATGGAAGTCTGTTTTGTGCAAGTAAAAGGAGTTTATTCGTTACCCAGACATTGTTTAATTAAAAACTATTACCATTGTGAACTGCTTATTGGTAATTTTATCTTTGCGGTAGGATCACTTATATTATATAATCTGTTGTACGCAACTGACTACATACTGCGAAATACACCCGGTTTTAACCACCAAACAAACAAACAATTCACATTTGATTCATTTACTTGCGATTAGTGGTGTGGGTTAATCGACATTGGTTTAAACTGACCTTCCTTCAAACTTTGCCTTCATGCAAAATCCTCAGTTCTTCTATTCAATCATACATTCAGAAGCTCTAGGCTCCAGGTTTGTTCTTACTAGATCACATCAGCAGTGCATATCCACTGTCCACTCCGGGCTTTGAACTCCGGATCCATCCCGGTAAAAGCGCATTTCCCCTGTGCCAATCAGCTCAAACCAGGGCTAAACCGAATTTTAAATTCATGCTCGTTCAGGTATCGTCCTCAGAGATAATAAGTCGATTCAATGTGGACTGACAGTAACGAAGGTAGACACAGTTGACCATCTGTTCATCACAATCGAAAGCCTTCCACCAAATCCTATCTTCCATGCAGTTTACGGGCCAACTGGCCACAATTCTATGATAATTCGCGGTGGTGGTGGTGGTAGTGGGATTCGAACACAAGTCCTCGGGAGCGGTAATCCGGTAACATTTACCATTCATTCATCATCACCCGATCAGGACTTGTTTTCGACACTTCGTCTTCTTTTGCTTGTACATTACATTGTTCCACCCCGAATGAGCGTTCTTCGGTCTGCTGGCTAACAGCTTCAAAGCCATTAACGGGATTTGATGAATTTACGCTTATTCAAATCGTACAATTCGGCCAGGAGTACAATAATCTCTAAAAAGGATATATTGCGATAATAAACGTGTTTTCGGCAGTAACCAGGAAAAGACCACTGGATGCTAAGCGAATCACCTGGCCTGTAACCGCCAAGTGTTACGGTAACCGTAGTAAAAACGTATTACCGGTATCCGCGATAATCAACCACGAAGGGAAACTTGCCCGAAAAATCTTACAGGGACACCGTTGATCTGGTCGACTCTGTTGTGTTTTCTTACCGACACTTTTGCGCGCGCACACATAAACATACTGTTTCGGTTGCGTGTTTTCTCTCCTTCGGAATCTTGTACACTGAACAAAGGAAGGTCCGCGTAACTCTAAGGACGATTAGCTATCAATGACCTTGGCAATGCCCATTAGGGTCATGTTCTGCCTTCAGAATTTCTTGTATATCCAGCGTATTCTCTTGACAAAACGCTTTTGAAAAAAACCTGAAGTGTTATCAAGCCATTCCGCATTTTTGTCTGTCAGTTCTAGCTCTTTTCTGTGCATATTAAAATTAAAAAAATTTTATAATAGATAACCCCCTAGTCAAGTTAGAAGCACGCGTTACCCTCTTTGGCAAGTAATTGGTCTTAGTCGATTTCTTAAATAACTTCGACCAAAACGCGTCTCTATAGGACTGGCAGACTCGACGGATTCCAAATGGTTCTTCTGAAGGAATTCGTCTACGCCCTGACCTCTGTTCCGTCTGATATCCTCGCCAAGATTCAGTTCCTACTCAACCTGATTCAAGAATAATAGGCCTATATTCTTGGGAAAAAACTGAGGCGCGAAAAGAATGCTATTAGTCTATTTTATCGGTTTTGTCGCGCCCGTGGGTAGAAATATTGTCGTTATTTTGACGCGAATTGACAATCCAAGCAAACAAAACTACCTTGCAGGTAGTTACTGACAATGGACAATTCAGTCAGTTTTCGTTCTTATTTTCCCGTACTGTCTGTTTCTTTGGTCACCGATGTAGGGATCCCCTAATTGGGAGTAATCCAAGGCAACACACATTAGGTATCTAAATTAATACAAATCAAATTGCTGAGCTGGGTAGACGAATCAGGTTCTACTCGCAAAACACTTCGAAATTCGTTATCCAATTTGCACAGTTCACATTCATTTTTGCGCGTAACTTGATGACATCAGATGTCGGTGATTGAATTTGATCCTTCCGATATCACATTATCAAAACTAACAACACTGTAGAAATAGAAAACATTATGCAAATCAATAAGTGTATTTATTCGTTTGTGACTGATTAATGTATAATCGCAGTTGTAGTCTCGCGGTTGATACCACAGCAGCCACTACCACGATAGATTCGGAAATAACCCTGCAAATGAAGGATGAAACAGAGATGCACACACATGATATTTGACTCAAAAATCGTCTCAGAGGAGTTTGTGAATAGTCAATTTGTACAACTCCATTTTCGTTTCTACCGATCCTATTTTGACAGTGATCTTCTCAAGTGTGTTGAAAGTAGGAAGTGCTCTCCACATACCTATACCACCTCAGATTGTTCACCTTCCTATTGCGAACACTATATGATTCCCACATCAATGAACCAATAATTAGAAAGATAATAAATATATAAATCAACGATATTGCCACTTCGTTTAATCAAGCGTAGATATGCATTCATTGATTAGCTTATAACCCTCGCCACATGAAACGGAAAGTCACAACGTGGCCTCAAATATAACTCTTTACCTTTAAAGTGTGATGACTACTGTTTTACCACACAATGTACTTTCTTCACTGGCTACTAAACAACTACTACTCACCTCTTCACCCCAATTCTGTCCCCAACTGTTCTTCACGATCCAAAACGGTTTCTTCCCCTCAACTCCGTAGCCAACACCGAGAACTGCATGGTTCATTCCAGATGCTGGACACAAGAATGAGAACGGGTGGCTGATTCCGCTGGTATAGAACTGAAACGGAAAAATTGGCCATTCTTTAGCATCCGCTTAGTCGATTTTTAGGATTAGTAAAATTACTGTCTATAGTAAAAACAAACAAATTATGAATTTCAAAGGATCTTCAATTTGATTGTAGACCGATCATGTTCCATGTTAAACGTTTGACCAGCACTGTAAATCAGATAAAAACATTTACAATATATCACACGAGGTACTCAACTTATTTGTCTTCAACTTCAACTTACTTGAAGCATGTTAGCGTTCAGCGCCATGCTCAGTGGTCCGTGCTCCGCCATGTACGCGGCAATTTGCACCTCGTCTTGACTCACTCTTAGTGACGTGTTCACATATGCAACGAACTTGTCCTTGTTCAGCATACACTTCTGCTGATGAGCCACATACGGATAGTCCGTTTCCTCCTGGACACCGCCCATGAACGCCAGCGTTTCGTAGGATACGATTGGTAGTCCGCCGTTGCAACCGTAATTAAGAGTGTCGCAGTCTACCAGTTGCTGGTGTAATAAAATGAACCAATCAATGCGCAGGAAGTTTTGCAATCAATAAAAAGAGTTTTGCTCATACTACGGGCTCTCTGATTAATCCTATGGCACTATTGTCTACTATATCAGATTCGATAAATTATGTACACACAACTGAGCTTTTCTGTGAACATATCATCATGGTAGGAAACACACTATTTTTAAAGCAAATGCCGCTAAGCTAAAGGTGGCTGAATGAAATGATATGCTCCAACGGGTATCGCGAGATTTACTAAAAATATGAAGTAAATAGAGAGTAAATAGATCAAGTCGAATGATGGTTGTCTTGCCTATGTCATTCTGTCTAATTCTCGCTGTGGATTGCGAGTATTTTGGTGCATTGTTCTCACTGGGTTCGACTGAGTTCGCCATGAAAAAGGTGAGAGGGGAAGGGAAAAGGTGGGTAGGATGTTGTCCTTCTGTTCAAGCAAAACACTGCCACTTCACATGCACTGATGATGTCACCTCGGCTGGTGATGACAAATAACCAAGCTCGGCGAACCGGCGAAAGACAATTCTAGCTGTTTCAGACCCA